AGTCAGGTGCCTTTTTATGTGCACTTGTAATAATTACTGTAAATTGTTGATATGTACCATGAAACTGTTTCGCTTTACTTTTCTATGTAATGATATGTTGCCAAGTTTTAACCGATGAACCAATGATGTACAAATGATAAAGCATTGTTTTCTTTCTTCACTTGATAATTACCATTCACAGGACACGTACATTGGGAATCCGCAGCGATTGGGTGGGGGGCTCGTATTTGGTCGCTAGAGGAGAGGGTCGAACTTACCTTCAAGTATTCTCGGTTTTCCCGTTTCAAAAGTGCTATACCCTCGTCTAGCTCAACGCATTTTTTGGGAAAGTTCTTGGAAAACTGTTAAGAAGTTGGTTGAATTCAAGAACATTGTAGGTAGGAAGCGGGAAGGGAGGTCGTGCAACCTACCAGATGAGTAAGTTTAGAGGGAAGAGGTTTTCTGCACTTTTCACCAACAGCAGGAAGCCTATTATACTTCTGTGAAGTGTATAACACGTTCCGGACGCGTGACAACATGGGGTGTGTATGCATTTGTCTCTATGGGTGTTTCATTTGACTGATCAAGCTTTTTCTTTCATATTCTAATGCTGTTAAAGCACGTTTTCGTTTACGGAAGATGCATCCCTCGTACGTGATAGAAATGAGGGAGGAAATTACTGGTGAACTACTGACGAAAAATTACGAAATGTCCCGGAGATTCGTGCAGTACGGCGGTTCGCACTGTGATAAAGCGCTTGCTTCCTTGCTTGAGACAGGAAAGTCTTGCTGCCCTGAAAGGAGGGATGAAAGTGGCGTCCCATGCGCGATATACAGAAGATAGCTCGTTGCGCAGTGTCTTCTAGCCAGTTGACTCGGCTCGCTATAGTTCTTTTTGCCAAATCTGTTGGACTGGTGTGGATGCCGCGCGCGCGATGTCAACAGCGCTTTACCGCGCCTCAGCAACCCGAATCTTCTCATGAGCGTCCTTTTAGGCTCCATTTGTAGACAACGACTTTAGGGAATTGATGAATTCTTGGATCTGGACGAGGCGTTCAAGTCACATTCTGTCAAAACGTCAGATGAATAGGCAAATTAATCAAATTCCATCCATACCCTTGTTCGCTGCGGATGACGGGGCGTGTGAGGCTGGGTATGGCGCGCCGTCAGCCCGTCTGGTTGCTGAAACGGATAAGCGACAACAATTTGTGGAAATCGACTGACACGAACGATACGATTAAGTCTTATCGCTTGCCAAAAGAAAAAGAACGGGTTGGCACCGCGCCAAACCCTTCCCCTAAGACACCCCATCATCCACAGCGGAGAGGGCTGCGCATTCTTCCTCCACAGATCCCTTGGTCCGTCAAAGTCGCTGTTTATGAACGCGGCCATAAATATTTATCTCGTATTCAAGAATCCAAACGAGATTTAGTAGCAACTTCAAAGCTCGCTCTTATGCTCATTACAAGTAGGTTTTTATTACCAGTACAGTCGCTCGCCTACGATCTGCTCCGCTTCTAGACCAAAAAGAGCATAAATTGCGCGTCAGGCTGACTAAGGCACCGCTTTACTGAGCTCAAGCTTGTAATGATCCTAACAATCAACAAGCTGCTGACAACGCTCAATAACAACTTGATGAGCAAAATAATAACAACTTGTAAGAGTGAGGCTCATTTCACTTCACCGCTATCGACAGTACAACAGCCAGCCATGGCTGAACGTGAGTGGTCTTCTGAGTCCATGTCCCATGTGGCCCCGTGTCTGTTCCCTTGGTGAACGGGTAGTTCAGAGCTTTGCTTTTTCTGCTGCTCAACAGTGACTAGGAGAAGGAAGCATCTGGGTAGATCCAGAGACTTTGTGAGCAGGAGATCGGACGGTACACACATGCTAGCTGGCCATGGGATTTCGTTGCTAGTCGACCCAACTCACTGTAGCGTTATCGTGTCCAATTGCTAAGAGACAGGCTTGAATAGGAGCCCACCTATAGCTTTGAACTCAGTCCTCTTGACGTGCACCCGCTAAACTAGTTAGTGTTGTGCGAAATACTGCTAACGTGCACGACTAACGTTCTTTTGGGAGACGGTCGAGACAATCGTAGTTGCCGCGCCGTCGCGTGCGGCGCATCTTGCAGCGATAAGCGGCAGAATCTCGATCTGGCACTTTCCCGACTGAAGCCGCGATGACCATGTGAATCCAAGCATGAGCGAACTCCATGCCAAAAAACACACGTCTTTCAAGTTCCTGTAACATTCAGAATTTAGACCGTCAGGCGGGAAAAGTCGTCTCGTGGGGGCGACGTCGCTTGCACACCCACAAGAGCGGCATATTACAATTGTCTTGCCACATATCCCGTTCTTTTCAGCACAACCTACTCCAAATGATCCTTTTGCCGCACTCAAGAGGTGAGTTGTTAAATAATTACATGCCCACCTGCTGAACAGAAGATGACAAGTTTCATTCCCACCTGAGTTAGGCAGCGTTCAGACTTCGCGACGGCAGCGCTTCGGTCGCGCGATTCGACGATCGATGCGCATGCTTTCGACTGCATCGATCGCGTCGAACGCGCGACCGAAGCGCTGCCGTCGCGAAGTCTGAACGCTGCCTTAGTCATCAGCCGATGTCACTGTCACTTCGCTGAGAAGTCGGGGACCTGGATGGCTCGCTAGCGCTGATCTTCTGCGACGCTGAGCATCGTCACGCCTGCTTGTCTGCTCCCTTTCAACGAGGCAGCGTAACACTTTCTGAAACAGCTTTTCAGAATGTGACATGGCCAAGCCTCGCTTAAAGGCAGTTGGCACGATGATTTGATACTCGGCCTAAAATGCTAGTAGGGCGCTATATAGTGGGGAAATGGCGAAAGAACGGAGTGAAACGGTCAAAATCCTGCGAAGAAAGAGCCTCCGTTCTCAATGTGTTAGAAATCAATTTTGGACGAGTTTCCTGTAGGCATCTTGCCAATCACCGCTACCGAAGGTACGGCTGCATATGTGTACCCATATATCCATGCAGCATCACGGCCGCTTCATACCAATCCCTTCGCTTCATAATTTGCTTAGCAAATGAATCGATTAGAGCGTCAGGAACGGTCGTCCATTTGTGGGCGGGCGGGCGTGGCGGGCGTTTGGGTCGGTATGTTGTGGCTTGATAGGGCCCTTATAAGGGCACCTCCCTTGGAAAAGGCATGCAGCGCCTGCTCAGGGTCGCGGAATTCCGTCCTGCCAGGCGTATTAATCCTACTCGTCTTGGGGGATTTATCGTGCCAACTGCCTTTGAGAGGGCCTCTCTCAAGGCACGTAATGCCGAGCTGGGTTTCTTATGTTAAGTAGAATAGAGTTAATGCGCACGTCCCTACTGAGTCGCACCTCAGATCTTAGGGAGCGCGCTCGTTTTTAGGACTTGCGCAACAAAATTATGCTAAACGCTCAGGTGACATAGTACGACTCCTTTACAACTCTTAGGACTCTATGCGTATCGTTTTTGTAGTTTGAATGGAGGGTAGACACCGCTTCAGCTTGATTCGGCGATTAGCAGTAAAGCGTGAATGACCGATTTTGAATGATAGACCAGCAAAAAGGATGATAATGTGATTCACCTCTGATCGCAAAATTTCTCAGTTGCGCGATTATCGGTGTAGTGAACGGGAGAGACAGTCGTAATTTGTCGCGTCGTCGCGTGCGGCGAATCGTGGATTGGTGCGCGACGAGTTATTAATGTCTGTAAGCCACCCTATTGGAGCAGCATTAGCGGCGGAGACAAAACTCCATGAACAGCCATATGAAAGTTCTCCGCCGCCTCAATACTCAACTTTGAACGGCCAAAGAGGACAACTCGTCTGCGGCGTCGCTAGCCACGACCGCCCACCAACGCGGCATATTGCGACTGTCTTGTCACATACTCATCGTAAAATATTGGATGCTGCCTGACGGAAATGCAGCAAAATGTCGAGTCACATAAAGAAAAGTAGACGCTAAAGCATGCCGAGGGAGGCGCGCTCTCTTTACGTTCCCCCCTTTTCCAAGACCTAGGCTCGGCTCGGTAGGGCGCAGACGACCAGAGTGCCGTGGCGGGGATGGTTGCAGGGCCGTACAGTCGATATCGTCACAGTTAGTCGGAGGAATGAAATGAGCCCAAGTTTTCATCAGTGGTTTTCTACCTCAGTCGGTCACCAATCGATCAGTACTGTCACAGAAGAGCAGCTGGAGGCGGGCTCATTCCGCCCCTGAACCCCACCCCGAGTGACTGCGACGATATCAACAATAGCTGCACGGACGTGTATCCTCTGCCCCTCTCTATTGTGTCAGTCAGGACACCGCGTTGTAAGTTGCATGGTACAGGCTGGATAGGCATGGGTGATGGCGATATCGCATGAAGCTGGCCTCGGCATCTTGTGATGGGCAGTTTGAGGAGTGGTGGAGGCGCTTTGACAGTCCCCACTCCCATCAACTTCCCTTCCCTTTCCCACAGTTGTTCAGCAGTGACAACTGATTCACACATGACTGTTACTTAAAGGCAGTTGGCACGATAAATCGCTATACAGGTGTAGGATTTGTACAACTGGCTTAACAGAATTCCGTGACCTCGGACAGGCGCTGCGTGAAGCCTTTTCCAAGGAGGGTACCTCTATAACGCCCTATTGAGCAACAGTCCCAAACGCCTTCCTTGCCCGCCCGCCCACAAACGGACGACCGTTTCTGACGCTCGTATTCATTCATTTGCTGAGCAAATTATGAAGCAAAGGGATTGGTATGAAGCGGCCGTGATGCTGCATGCATATATGGGTACACATATGCAGCCGTATCTTCGGTAGCGGTGATTGGTAAGATGCCTACGGGAAACTCGTCCGAAATCGATTTACAAGTCACTGAGAACGGAGGCTTTTTCTTCGCAGGATTTTGACCGTTTCACTCCGTTCTTTCGCCATTTCCCCACTATACAGCGCCCTACTAGCATTTTAGGCTAAGTAGGAAACCATCGTGCCAACTGCCTTTAATAGTACGTATTTAATAAACTTAGAATTGCAGGATGTCACTTCAATCTAAAGAAAGTCCGTCCAACGAGAGCGCCGAGGAAACCAAGCGTGAAGACGAAGGTCCGCACACGTTGGATCTGAAAGACCCAAAACAAAAAGCCCTGTACAAACTCTATCGCCCGGAGATAGTCACACCGAAATTAAGAGGAATAGAACTGCTCAGGATGCCGTGGCACAATAAGGTGAATTTTCGCTTTAGCTATAAAAGAATGTGTCTTTCACTTCAAATTCTTCCTTTTGAGCTGAACATCGATATAGCATAGATTTAACTATTAAGGACACAATTCGCGATGACCTGAGAAGTAGAATCCTTCCTGCGCATGGAAGGTGCAGGTCTACAACTTAAGGTGTTCCATTTTCTGAGCGCGAGATTGCGTAATAAGGATGTGAGAGTCTTGTGAAGTGTCTGGAACTCCACCCCACTGCCTGAAGTTCCTTCGAAAGAAAGACGGCCAAAACAACCGCAATTCATCGCGCCGTCGCGCGCGATGTACCGTGCGGCTATGCGCGGAAAACCCTAATGCGCATCAATTTGTTGGTTGGGGCAGCAAAACTCAAAAGAGTCCAAGCAGAGAAAAGACTCCAAGACGAGCGATGTCGAATTCCCCCTTCCCTTTACCGCTCACACTGAAATGGCCAGGCGGAACGACTCATCCGTCCGACGCGGCGTCCTGGCCACACCTACCAGCGTGGCATAATACAGCTGTCTTGTCACATACCTGGTTTCTCCACGTAATTTAGGTTCCTATGTTCATTGGTGTTGCTCGAACGTTATATTAACTCCTCGTTCGGAAATGAATGGAAGGACCCGGGTATGTGACAACACAATCGTAATATGCCGCGCCGGTGGGCGTGGCCAGCGACGCCGCGCGCTATGGATGAGTTGTTCTACTTGACCGTTTGAGAAAGTTGGAGGGAAGGGGAATTCGATATTGCCGGTGATGGAATCTTGGCTCTACTTGGATTCGTATAAGTTTTGCTGCCCCGAACCGACAAATCTATGCACATCGAGAATGTGCCCCAAAGCGCCGCACAATACGTAGTACGCGACGACGCGACAAATTACGATTGTCTTGTCTCTCTCTCTCAGTAGACGGCACCAAGTTGCTGGCATAGCGCCAGAAAGTGTCGAGAACTCGTCCAAATGCAGTAAGATTCGGAAGAAACCAAAAAATGGTCTTATTTGAGGCAATTTCGACGGCTTTTTTCTCTTCTCTTCCATTCAGTACCTGTGTGTTCATATTGGCCCATCACTGGTCTCTTTTCATCGTGAAAATTGCATTCGTTTCATAGCTTTTATCCCTCTTAGTGGCAGGGTTCACTGTTCCGGTATGATGGCTTTACTTCTCTTGATTGAACGCCCAAATCCGGGTATGTGACATGAGAATCGTCATTCACCGCGTCGCGTGCAGCGTCGCGTGCAGCGTCGCGCCCGCAAATGACGATTTCTAGATCGTAAAGGCAATAAAAACAATTTATGCGTCCATTGCCGCGCGCGGCGGAGCGGCAAATTACGACTCTCTTGCCCGTCTCCCCCAAACCCTCAGCAAGAAGCGTGTCAAGTCAGCACTGGCTGGGGAGTCCTTTAGGCAGATTTACGGCCCCTTTGAACTGCAGGACAAAGTTACGGACGATGTCGGCCTTTCAAATGTGACTCTAACACTTTTGTTATGAAAATCCAAGCTTCTTGAAGATAAAGGCCTCGCTGAGAAAGATGTGCGGTGAGCAGACGACCAAGTAACCACAGGATCTGGCCTGGCTTTTGATTGGCTCTGCCGTTACTTCTGATGTGACGTCCGCTTTGGAGCCTAACAAGTAAACCTTTCTGCTATCAAGCATTGCAGGGCATGGCGTTCACTCTTTACGAACGACAGTTTCTTGGCATCCATGGACTCATTCCGCCAGCCATGATGACAGCCGAACAACAAGCTTATCGTACAATGGTGACACTTCGTGGACTACCCGATGATCTTGCGAGGTTAGATTTCTCGGCGCGGTTCGGGAATGAGGGGAGGGGGCATTTAGCACTTTCGCTGCTTCGCTAGTTAGGTTTGCAGGTCGCACTGGTAAAGCCTATGAATCTTGTGAAGTTGGAGCAAACTCGTCGAGCGACCACGGTAAAACATGGAAACTCTTGCAGGCCCCTGAGTAGCTCTCCAGATGGCTCGAAACGTCGATGGGAACTAGCAAAAGTGCAGAATGCCCTTTCCCCCTCATCGCCGAATCGCCCCGCCTTCTCTTCTTGAATTCTCCACGGTTCGACAGCAACGTTTCTTATGTTCAGGTATATAGAACTGGATAACCTCCAAGACCGCAATGAGAAATTATTTTACCGCGTTATCTGCGAGAATGTGAAAGAGCTAATGCGTATCGTCTACACACCTACAGTTGGACTTGCATGTCAAAAATTCGGTTTCATCTTTCGCAATCCGAAGTATGGCTTCGAATTATAACTTGCACCCAAACTCCGTAGGATACACTTATCCCGAAGATGGGGTGGGCGTGGCTGCGTACATCTGTGTAGGCGTTCTGGAACGAATGGAATTTGTCTCCGACTAGCGCAAAGCATGATGACGGCTGTCTCAAATGGAAAGATCCCACCAGCCGCCACCACGTTAAATAAGCAGCCACGCCCACTCTATCCGAGATATGGGGTGCACTCACAATCAAACGTACAGCCCACGATTGACTGAGAGGTAAAGACTGTATCTGAGAGCCAAAAGGGGCGTTTCCTGATACAGTTGTAGTTGCGAACTTAGTGAAGGTCCAGACGCAAGAGAGGCAGAGGTGCGTTTATTAGAAAGGAGGGTCAACGCGAAAAGGTTATCAAGTTTTTTCCTACAGTCGTTTCCGTCCTAAGGTGGGCCGACAAGTGTAATTGAGCCACTTAGCTCACGTGGAACTGCGCAGTAGGGGCATCGGGAAGTTACGAGCAAAAACTGAGAGTAGCAGAGTAGCAGAGCAGAGTGAGTATGCACGAGAGTAGCAGTCTCTCTCCATAGCAAAGACAGCCACAGGTCATTATCAACGGTGCCCCCACTGCCTAGAGAAAATGCCTTGGGCAGGCCGCCGAGACGGTACTTGCTAGACGTGCAGTCGTGTGACCAAGGTGGCTCAGTGGTACAGCTCGCAGCATCACAGGAATTCTGACACATAAGATTGATTGATAAGACATGTCATTTGACATAAACTGACAAGTAATATCAAAATGCCCCTTCCAAGCCGAACAAAGCCAGAACTTCTTGCAAAAAGTGTGGATACTGGATGCAGTATTGATTAAATTTCATTTGAAATTTATTCCCTAGGGGACTCTACATAACGATCAACGACAACACTATAAGTAGAATCTACGAGATTCTCGCAAACTGGCCGACAACAAATGTCAAGGTAAGCGGATTTTCTTGACTAGCTCCTGTTCGGGGGGAAATGCACATAGCTGTTTCCGTTGTGGTCGATGGGCGTGTCAGGCGCTGGGTTTGGTAAGTAGCCAGTCCGTTTTTCACCAACAACCGTCGTTTGTTCGCTTCAGCAACTGTTAGAGAGCGCGCAGTCCAAACTCTGCTCCTTGGTACACTTCAACGTCTGCAGCGAGAATGACTGTATCTTTCAGGCGATTGTTGTGACAGATGGTGAACGAATTCTGGGGCTGGGTGATCTCGGCACTTACGGTATGGGTATCCCGATCGGTAAACTTGCACTCTACGTAGCTCTGGGTGGTGTTCATCCCGAGTGGTGCCTGCCAATTCTGATTGATGTCGGCACCAATAATGAGGTTAGTCATTGCTCTCGTTGAATAGGCATATAATCGCTCACATGCAGCTTTTCAGAAACTGCTCAAAGATCCATTCTACACAGGCTTGCGAAGAAAACGTGTACGTGGACCTGCCTACGACCTTCTCATGGATTACTTTATGATAGCCTGCACTAAACGGTAAGATGGCATCGAAGCGAAAAGGCCAGTCCTACATAGTAAGGTAGCTGAAAGTACTTCGCGCAACGGATGAAATGTTCCATTTAGGAGAACTCTATAGCCTCCAATGCTTCCTCTAGGACCTCTCGAATTGGAATCTGCTTTGGAACACCTCATCCATCCTGCAGCGTAGAGTATGCACTTATAGGGGCAGGCATGGGTCCATGTATAATAGCAGGAGAGCATGTAGCACTTGTGTAAGCTAGAGTTACATATGTTACGTTGCGGATACTAGATGTGTCAGGTGCAAGGTTTGGCGCATTGCCAGCCCGTTTTGCACTATTTGTTGTCGCTGGCCCACTTCAACAATTGCTGGAGAACAGGCTGGCGCTGCGCCAAACTCAGCCCATCCCCCTGAACACTACAGCATCCGCAGCGAAGAAGGCGATAGTTAGGGAGCTCAAGGAGCAGTCGAAAGTTCTGAGCATGCTCTCATATACCAACCCACACTTCTCGTGAGGGAACTTGCCTGCAGGGTCACCAAGAAGACTGGTTAAGTATCAACCCCTCAGTATGACTTTTCGTTGATTAAAAAAAACGGAGAAAGTCTCAAATCTGACATTGACTGCGCAAGTCCCTCCTTCCGCACCTTCACGTACAGTAGCGAAAAAAAAATTGGAACAAGCCCAAGTCGCGCGCTTTTTAATAGTTTTACATACAATTTTTAAATTGCACATGAAAACTTTGTTTGCTCAAATCAAGTACGCCTTAAAATGCTATTCTAAAAAATAAAGTTTGTTGATTAGATTCGTTACCGGGACAGAATTTTGAAGATTATTGCGATGCGGCATGCCGCTGCCACTCTGATATTGGACCGGTTTTCAAAGTTTCTAATGCTTTGCGATCCATCGGAAGAAGATCACACCTGTCTGAGTGTTCGCTCCCTTCTTCCATTTCTTTTTTACAACTCTCGAGAAACCTATGTTGTTCCCAAAGCATTAGAAATTTTGAAAACCGGTCCAATATCAGAGTGGCAGCGGCATGCCGCATCGCAATAATCTTCGAAATTTTGGCCTGTAACGAATTCAATCAACCAACTTATTTTTTAGAATAGCATTTTAAGGCGTACTTTGTTTGAGCAAACAAAGTTTTCATGTGCAATTTAAAAATTGTATGTAAAACTATTAAAAAGCGCGCGACTTGGGCTTGTTCCAAGGTTTTTTTTCGCGACTGTAGATTTTCATTGAAGATTTGGCCGTAATGTCCTCATTCAATACGAAGACTTTGGAAATTTGAACGCATATCGTCTGCTGGACAAATACAAGCAACAGTACAACATGTTCAATGATGATATACAAGGTATTTGCGTCCTCATCAAGGCGCATTTCACGCCGACCGTATAGGTGTGTTCACTTGATCCGCTACCAGGGTACAGCATCATTTTGTGGAACACATAGGGGGGTCGTACTATTCAGCCCCCTCCCCGCTCGACGGGAAATTTTTGGGTGAAAAGTGGGAAATTGGTAGGTATGTAGGTGTTGGGGAAGGTAAGGGGTCGTATCAATAACCTCAATTAGGAGGGGGTGCACTGACACCTCTCCTCACCCCGGCAGGGGAGGGCGGGCGGGGCGGGCGTACGTAACACAGGCAACACTTCGCATCAGCCGACACGTCATGCTGTACCCACACTGAGTCCGCTACCCCTTCTATCGGTGGGCTGCCTACTTGAATGTCAAGGAGAAGGGCGCTCGGTGTAATAGTATGTGGTATGAACTAATATGGTCAGCATGAAATAAGCCCTCGAGTGGCTATTTGAGCCTTTGTGAAGGGCATTTTCAAAGGAACGGCTGCTGTGGTCGTTGCTGGTCTTTTGACAACTACTCGACATCAACACCAAAATGGAAGTTATGCGAGTTAGCAGAATTGTACTTCTTCGGGTGCTGGATTGGGGTAAGTTTCGCACCTGAGTTTTAACTGCAAAACTTCATTGCAAATGAATTTGTTTAATGGAAAAAGAACTCTACGAAAGCGCTGCGCTTGTGGTTTACTAACGAGACGGTGTGGGAGGGACGTGGACTGGAGTGAAGCCAGAGCAGCCTTTTCCACCAATCGTTGCGTGATCAGAACGACACACTTGGTAAAAACTGCCCTGGTTGCGCTTTCCACTCACTCTGCTCGCCTAACTCGTTTTGCTAGGGATAAGGAGTGCCAGCGTTGGCGTGGGAGACAGCCTTCCTTCTTTTCGCCTAAATAATCGGCCGACTCGCAAGCAACATTCGCACTGAATTTTAGATTCGTTTTGGACCGAAAGCTTTTTGCTAAACTCATAGTGATGTGTTTGATCCATTTTAGACGCCCCGCCCCTTGTTACTACAGATAACATCCTTTATCTGTTTAGGTGGAAAGAGCGATTTTCCCTTGGGGCACGGTCCGCAGTGTAGGTGAGAGTTGCAGAACCTTCCAGCTGAGCTTTTGGGAAGCAGTCCCCCCCCCCAACAGCACGTCCTTGAAGTCCGTAGAGGACGTTCCCAAAGGGGCAGTTGCGAGCGTTGTGAGGAATGCGAATCTGGGACGGGAGAGAGAGGCAGAGACGTACATACCGGAGAGGAGAGTCGATACAAGAACTAATACGTTCGTCAAACAAGTGAGAAAAAATAGTAATGAAGTACTTGTCATGCTTCAGATATTGTATTCAGGCTGCTACGGGTGTGGCAGAAATGTGCGTAAGAGAAATGGTGGAGGAAGGTCTTACCGTGGAGGAGGCATGTGCACAAATCTACATGATCGATATCGACGGTCTTATCACGAAAAGCCGAATGCCAACGTTAACACCGCGACATTTCCCATTCGCAAAAGTTGGTGACTTTGTAGGCATCGAAACTTATCATCTCCAGAGTGGGACAAGACCATTTTTTAGGAAATGGAAGACACTAAAGACCTTTTAGAAGTAGTCAAACAGGTGAAACCGCACGCCATCATCGGTAGGTTGTATGTTGATCTCGCCTTTTTCATCGTGAGCATGAACAAACGAAGGTTGAACTTCGAGTAAAGAGCTACTGCACTTAAGGGAGGAGAGTGGTGGCAGGACAATAGTTGGAAGAGCCCAGACAACTAGTCTTGTTCCCCGTGCCTCTTCCCCCGTTACAGTGACACCAAATTCCCAGCTTTCAGGGTCCAAGTTTTGTTTCTCCTTATCCAAATCCCCAGCCCACCACGGCTCTGGAGAAAACTTCTTCAATACAGCCCCTCCTCCCTCCCGCTGATGAGTTTGAACGTAAGGGGTGTCCGCGACTACGAGCGACAAGCTGCGCTATTTCATTTGAAGGTGTCGCCCGATGGACAAGGCGAGTGAAGGGGTAGGAGTAGAGAAAGGGGGAAGGGCATCATTAGGCGCCAGAAGAGGCTCTGACTTTGGAGCGCGGCATTCGCCCAACCCCTTCGACGCGCCCATGCTCCGCCCCCTCACTCGCCAGAATTTCCTTCTATGGTAAGGTACCCCTTCCATCCCACCTACCGTCTTGTGAACCTACCAGATTTTGCGATCGAGTGGGGAAGAGGACGGGGAAAATCAGCCATGAAAAATTCTGTCTCGCGGCAAAACATGGCCCCGGTTTTGTTACAATGATGACTTCGAGCTCTGATGGGGGGGGGGGAGGGGAGGAGAGGTGGATTCGACCGCGCCGACTCCGATCGTCTTTCTAGGACTGAGCTTGAAGAGATCACTGTCCTGGTGAGATCCATTAATGAGCCTAGGTAACGTCGCAGCGTGCAACCCCCACCCCCCCCCCCGCCCACATCCCTCCCCAACTCCCATCTCTATCGCATAATTTTTTGTAGGGGCGTCGACAAAGGGAGGCGCATTCACCGAAGCAGTTATCAAGACGATGGCAGCAAATAACGAACGACCGATAATATTCGCTCTCTCAAACCCGACAAGCAATGCGGAATGTACAGCTGAAGCAGCTATTCGCCTGACAGATGTGAGCAGATGAACAATAAGAGATCCACAAATCACATTATCAATACAAGTTTCCAACTGCTTTCAGGGAAAAGTGCTGTTTGCTTCGGGTTCGCCATTCGAAAATGTGGTCTACAAAGGGAAAACGTATAAACCAGGCCAAGGCAACAATGCCTATATTTTCCCCGGAGTTGGGCTCGGAGCTGTACTGTTCAGTTCAAAGCACATTGCCGACAAGATTTTCCTTTTAGCGGCCCGGGTCAGA